GTATAAAAGAACCTGAGAGCTGGACCTAGTCACCTGATCTGTAACTCCAGCTACACTGGCAGCTGAAACAGAAGAAATGAAAGTTCAAGAGCAGCTTGGGCTATAGAGTAAATACAAGGCCAGACTCTAAAGTATAGCTCAGGCCAGGCATGGTGGTGAGCATCTTTTTTTTAATCTGTTTGTTCTTTGTTTTTTCTAGACAGTTTTCTCTGTGGAACAGCCCCAGTTGTCTTGGAAATCGCTTTGTAAATCAGGGTGGCTCGAACTCACAGAGATCCAGTAGAGGACACCTTTAATCCCAGCATTTGGAAGGCAGAAGCAGGTGTATCTCTCTGAGCTCAGGGCTAACCTGGTCTACACAGTGAGTTCCAGGCCAGCCTAGGAGATATTGTGAGACCCTGTCTCCAAACTTTTTTAGAAAAAAAAAAGTGTAGCTCAGAAGTAGAACACTTGCCTAGCATGCATTGGGTTTAGTCCCCAGAAACACACTCTCTCTCTCTCTCTCTCTCTCTCTGTCTCTCATGAGTTTTTCCTTTCAGTCTATAGAATGCACAGCCCTCCCTGAACTTCTCTCCCTGACAGTCTTCTCCACCTTAATGCCAACAGTTTCCATCTACCCTTCTTCTTGTAAGAGTTATTCTACACACATACTCCTCACTTCACCTTCTACTCAGAAATTAAATTTCACTGACTTTATCACAGGGTAACACTTAGAGCCACATCCAAAGAGTTATATGTGTTAGGTACTTGTTATAAACTTAGTACAATAATAAAAGCAGGAAATAACCTAAGTAATGTCATGTGGAACCGTTTAAAAATTAAATCAGCATTTTAGGAAATGGCTCATTGGGTAAGAATGCTTCCTGAATTCAAACCCCCCATATCCATGTTTTTAAAAAAAAGAAAGGCATAACTGCACATACCTGTAACCCTAGCAATGCAGGAGGTGAAGGCAGGAATATGCTGGAGTTTACTGGCTGCCAGCCTAACTCTGGGTTTAGTGAAAGACACTGTCTCTAAAGAATAAAGAATGGGAAGCTGGAGAGACGGCTCAGTGATTAAGAGCACTGGCTGCTCTTCTAGAAGTCCTGAGTTCAATTCCCAGCACCTACATGGTAGCTCACAACCATCTGTAATGAGATCTGGCTCCATCTTCTGGCATGCAGGCATGCATGCAAATAGAAAATTGTATACGAAATAAATAAATAAATGAACAAATCAATAGATCTTTTAAAAAAAGAATAAAGATTCCCACTGTATATATCTGGATCACATGCTTCTACATATATGTGCCCCCATACACATACACACAACATACACAATCAACTCTAATTTAGGAATTGCATCTGCTGTAGATATCAAAAACTTGGCTATGGTAGAAGCTTCTGTGCTGTCTGAGATGGTGTCATTCTATTGTAGCTGTCTTTCACACCTGTTTATCCTACAGTCCAAAATGGCAACTATAATTCTAATCAGCCTGTGTAAACTCCAGCAGGAAGAAAGACTGTACAAAGAAATTGGACACAGGCCATTCACCAACTGTCTCTTTATAGTCCAAAGGCTGACTCCAACACACCTGTTTACATTCTGCCAGCACGGTTACCAAAGCAGAACTCCTACTCTACCCAAGAAGAAAGAAATCGAGCAAAGGTTATTCCTAGACCCAGGCATTGCACTGATTAGAAGTGCACTATAGGCAAAGAGAAAACTCATTTGGTTTGAAAGGTTTAATGTGCTTGAATTTTTCTGGTTTTATATTTTCTTACATTAAGATGGAGGGACAGTTCATGTGCTTTTTAACTGGAATCAGTTTTTTTGGCCATTGTGGTGGTTGTTCTTGAGTCAGTCTTACTCTATAGCCCAGGCTATCCTGGAACTCACTACTGTTGCCGAGGCTAGCCTCAAACTCTTAGAGATTCTCCTGTCTCAGCCTTCCAAGTTCAAGGATTACAGATGTGAGCCACCATGCTTTTCTTTTCTCTTTCTTTTTTTTTTTTTCTTTTTCTTTTTTGTTTTTTACGAGACAGGGTTTCTCTGTATTGTTTTGGAGGCTGTTGGTCCAGCCTGGCCTCGAACTCACAGAGATACGCCTGCCTCTGCCTCCCGAGTGCTGGGATTAAAGGCATGCGCCACCACCACCCGGCTGTTTTTGTTTTCTAAGAAGGCATTTCGCTGTGGGGTCCTGTCTGGCCTGGAACTCATGTTGAGCAGGCTGGCCTCAAACTTGTAGGAAATTCCCCTGCCTCTGCCTTCCTAGGTATTAAGATTCCACGCATCATATCCATCTCTGTGTACCGCTGGCTCTCCTAGAACTTGCTCAGTAGACCAGTCTGACCTCAAACTCAGAGACATGACAGGCTCTGCCTCATGAGTGCTGAGATTAAAGGTGTGTGCCACCACCACCCAGCAAGATCTGTTTTATAGAAGTGCTGTCTTTTTTTCTTTTTAAAGATTTATTTATTATGTATACATTCTTCTGTCTGCATGGATGCCTGCACACCAGAAGAGGGCAGCAGATCTCATTATAGATGGTTGTTTGCCATCATGTGATTGATGGGAATTGAACTCAGGACCTCTGGAAGAGCAGCCTGTGGTCTTAAACGCTAAGCAATTTCTCCATCCCTAAGGTGCTGTCTAAGTTCTCAGCAAGAGGACAGTATAACTAGCTATCTTTAGTGTTGCCAGATAAGTTATATCTGAACCAACTGGTACTTATTAATTATTCCTTAATAAAAGTGTCTTGTACATGGAAAGGCATGAGTTCTTACTGTTTGTTTAAATAAATTGTCCTTCAACACAAATTATACCAAGACACTAGAAATATCTTTATTCTTATATATTTTTACTTTAGGTTAGGAGACAGACACAACCTAGGCCATATTGATAGATGAAGACACTGAAGGTTCTCACACACAAGAGTACTCTACAGTAAAGAATTTGACTTTGCCCTTAGCTTCTGGGAAGCAAGTACCATAGCTGATAGTATTGGCTTCAGTGCAGACTTTGGGCAATGTGGTTTTAGTCACATGGAGGCTGAGATCAACCATAGGCAATCAGTCAGTCACTCAGGAAAACTCTGGACACGGAAACGTGTACGCATTTCCTGGTTGACACTGCTCCCTTTGTACTGCCACACCCTGAAGCTGAACCGATGTCATGCTTCCATGGGAGCACAATGTGACCTCTGCACCTAGAAACTTCCTAGACTCTGCCTTAGGCAACTCTTCCTTTGGCTGACTTTATCTATACCTTTTCTCTGCTCAATCACGCATGGAACAGTTGTCAACAAATAGTACATGTGTTCCTAGTGGATTGCTGATGATTTAGGGAAACTTCTGAACTTGCAGCAGGTATCAAAAACCAAGGCAGGGCTCAGCAATAAAGGTACTAAGTCTAATGACCTGAGACCCAGGGACCTGAATAATAAAAGGGAAGATTAATCCCTAAAAGCTGTCGTCTGATACACACACACACACACACACACACACACACACACTGTGGTGTATATGTACGCACCCCCCAGTAAATGATTTACTTTTTTAAAAAGTATAGGCAGTGTAGGGAACTGTACCCACTGAACTTGATGGCCTCAAGCCCCTTGTAGAAAACTCAATGGCAGAAGCAGCACTGTGCTAGATGGAATGTGCCAGACAGAATGTGCTAGAAAAAGAAGTAGGAAAGAGCAGGGAGAAACATTATATTAATAAGAGGCCCAAAGTGGACATTCTGTTTGAAGAGAGGGTCCCAGGAGCAAAAGGCACCCTTCCTGATCTCATTGTCTTCGTGTTTCTCGGAAGGCTGGCCGTGTTAGAGCTCCATCTCCAACAGACTGAAGCAAGGTGAGGCCAGGATTTTAGAGAAAGCATTTGTCTATGCTGCACCTTTCTTTAGATCAGCAGTTACTAAAGACACACACCTGAAGTCAAACGGCAGCATTCCTAACAAGGATGAGGACCGATACTAGGATACCCGAGAGGAATAATACATTTCAGACTGATAACAGGAACGGTTTCTGATGAGCTCCCTTTAGCCTGTTGCCATTCTAGACACAAAAGGCAACCTCAGGAAAAAAAACAAAATCTCAACAGATGGGCAGGAATCTCAGAAACTTGACTGAGTCCTGAAGGCAGAAACAGGATCTCAGTGGCCCAGTTATGGTCACCCAGTCTTCTAAAAGTTATGGTCTCAAACCAGTGGAGAAAGGCACTGGTCCCCCAAGCCTGATGGCTGAGCTCAACCCCAGAGCTCAGATAGAGATGGGAGGAGAGAAATGATTCTTGGAAATTGCCCTCTGAACTTCAGAACCCTGCTGTGGCCTGCACCTCCAGGGAGCAAGGCTGGGTTTTGTATCCCTGTTTCTTAAAGCCCAGCCTTGCTCACTGGACTGTCTGCCATGCTCACCGCAGAACATCCCGAGTGAGCTGTCAAACTGGGCTCTCCACAGAAGGCTGGGCATGTGGGGCAGAGGTTGCCAATGAGTCAAAGGAAATGATGACATTACTTAGTGATGAGACTCCTGCCGTTTTCCTGTTGAAAGACCTTGTGACTCTTCTTGACCCAGAACTCTTAAGGTCAGTTATTGACCCTCACCATAGGAAGTGTTTAGGCAGCCTGCCTGGTTAGAGCAAAGAGCTGTGTGTGTGTGTGTTGTGTGTGATAAGCCTGGATTCCTAGCAGCTTTATGTTTGTAAAACCTTATTTCTTTAGCTGAGATCTGAGCACGTGCAGGGTAGGGAGTTCCTCAACGCTGATATCATTCCTCACTAAGCTGAGCACACACCCACTGGGTCTCAAGAAGGTTATTCCTGCACGGTGGTGATGATGGCAGTGCACACCTTTAACCCCAGAACTTGGTAGGCAGAGGCAGGCGGATCTCTAAGTATGAGGCCAGCCTGGTCTACACAGCCAGTTCCAGAAACCTTGTCTCAAAAACCCAAACAATAAAAAAAAATAAAATAATGAAGGTTATTCCCACATTCAAGTGTGCTTCTCTCTTTCAGTGAGTTTCCAGATGACCCAGGAGTGCAGTGGGACATAGAGAGTGTGGCCAGCACCCTCCTCCAGCACATAGATGTCAATGGCATCAACTTGGTAAGGCAATGCCACTCTGAGTGGAAAGCCCAGGGTCCCCATCCTGTCTCATGGACTAGCTTCAGCTACTCGTCTTGTGACTGCCTCCCGCTCTGAGAAGAGCATTTTCCAAACCATGTCCTGCTCCTCCACCTTTCTCTTGCCTCCTGAAAATTCAGAACCCTAGGAACCCGCAGGAGACTTCCGTTGACCCAGAACGTATCATACCAAGTGGTTTCACAGTTAAGGTATCATTTTCACTTTGAAGATTAATGTTATAAATGTTAAAATTCTTATTTGATCCAGAATGGGTGGCTTCCAGAGACATATAGGGGTGCAGGGGAGGGTCTAGAGATCTTACCCAGAGCTTTGTGCATGATAAGCCCTAGGTCTAGCAAGGAGCTACATACCCAATTCTGTGGCTATGGTGTTTAAGCCTCCATTTCATTTGTTTGTTTGTTTGAAGCAGGATCTTACTGTGTAGACCAGGCTAGCCTTGAAACTCATATAAATCAACCTGCTTCTGCCTCTGAAGTGCTGAGATTAATCATGTCCAGCTAGCTTTCATTTATTTATATATTATTTATTTGTTTTTTTTGAAACAGGGTTTCTGTCTGTGTAGCCCTGGCTGTCCTGGAACTCTGTAGACCAGGTTGGTCTCAAACTCATAAGATCTGCCTACCTCTGCCTCTCAAGTGCTAGGATTAAATACATGTATTACCATTGCCCTATAGCCTCCATTTCTTTAAAAAAAAAAAAAAAAGAGGATTAAAAACCTATTTGCATGGGGCCTAGAGAGATGGCTCAGAGATTAAGAGCACTGGCTGTGCCGGGCGTTGGTGGCGCATGCCTTTAATCCCAGCACTTGGGAGGCAGAGGCAGGCAGATCTCTGTGAGTTCGAGGCCAGCCTGGTCTACAAGAGCTAGTTTCAGGACAGCCTCCAAAGCCACAGAGAAACCCTGTCTTGGAGGGGAGGGGGGGGGGAAGAGCACTGGCTGCTCTTCCAGAGGTCCTGAGTTCAAATCCCAGCAACCATTTTCTGGCTTGCAGGTATACATGTGCACAGAACGCTGTATTAATAATAAATAAATCTTTAAAAATAATAACCTGCTTGCTTTTCCATTTTCCCGTTTTCTCTTCTCTCTGCCCCTCCCCCAGCCTTGGCAGTTTGATTCCCTAATAAATCTTCCTTACTACCCATGAAAAACAATGAGGATAAGTTCACACTCACTTTATAAGGAAACTGACAGTCACCATTAGGGCAGTAATAGAGATTCACATTTACTTGCAAAGGTGAACAAAGCCATCTCAGCTCTCTTAGGGTTAGCAGGTTAGGGTTCCAAAACAGTCACTTCTGTTGAAATCCTCCTGCCTCTGCCTCCCAAATGCCAGGATTAAAGGTGTTTCACCACACCTGACCAAAACAGTCCACTTTAAAGTGGCCAAGGTTTACTTTCCAAATCTCAAAATAACAATAATTCTTCATAGGTTAATAGCTAAAGTTTCATTATTCAAACCCCTTCTCATTTGACAGAGTTTTTTTTTTTAATAGAGCCTGTTGGCTAGGAAGCTTACTGAGTTAATGGATACATTAGTCCTTTCTTAAGACATGTTTTCTTTTTGTGATGTGTGCATATGAGCCTATGTGAGTATATGTGTGCCATGTGTATGCAGGAGCTCATGGAGGTTGGAGGGGGACGGGTCCCCTGAAACTAGAGTTCCAGGTGGTCGCCTGGGGTGCCTGGAAGAGCAGCGAGCACTCTTAGCCACCGAGCCATCTTTTTGCCTCTCAGCACCCAGCTTTCTTAGGGCAGTGACTGTCCGAGGACTGAGTCCATTCCTGGTCCTCATCATAGTGTGTTAGAGCTGTTGGCCATTACCAACACTCCAAACTTGGAAGCCTTGGCCTTTCTTGATCTGGCCACTATGTCCGGGACACAGGTGAACAGGGTTGTCCTCATTTAGGGGCTGAGAATCTTTTACAGCAGCCAGGGCTGGGGAAGACTCTGAGCAGAGTGCAAGGTTACAGGCGTGAGCAACATGTCCCATTCCTCTCTTCTTCCTCCATCTTCAGAGGAATTCTGCCAGTTTCCGTTTCTTGTCACATGGCCTTTCCCTCGGACCCTCTTGGGTCCCCTTTTAAGGACCACCGTGATTACATTGAGCCCACCAGCCCACGGAGAATAACCCCTCCATCTTAATCCTTAATCACATCTGCAAAATCCCTTTTGCTAGTTGAAGTAACAAGTCAGGTTCCAGGGAAACAGAACATGTGGAGCAGACATGTGTTATTAAGTCCACAGAGCAACCTTACTCCACAACCCGTGTTCACACGGGATGGGAGGGCCCAATAACCATCCTAGAGATGATTTTTTTTTCAGTTGGAGTTCTTTTAATATTTAAATACAAAAAGTGAGCACTGGCTTCTTTACACAACACTCGGGTCTAACGGCCAGATGTGCAGAGGAAATGAGCTTGCTCTGTCCACAGTCCCCATCTGGCTAAAGCCACAGCTAGCCTCCCTTCTCTCCAACACACAGGGATTCCTGTAACCACAGCTGTAATGGATTTTATCAGTTCCACATTGTTTACATGTCCCAGACATTTTCGGTCTTTTTTTTCTTCACCACAAGGGGCAAGTGAGAACTCCGATTGGAACAATTTACTAAAGGGATAGCGTGGAATAGCCTTCCACATGTACTCTAGCATCAGATTGAGAACAGGAAATACATGAGAGCGTTATGAAGGGCACAGGTGCAACTAGAGTCTCTCCATGAGAAACGGGACAGTTCCCACCAGATTTAAACAGATGGGTGTGCCAAAGTTTACAATAAGAAGTTCAAACAATCAGCAGTTCAAACAACTGAATTTCAAAGTTCTCCCACCATGAAAATACCAAAGAAATAATCTAGATCTTTCCAGGAAGTGGAGGTAGAGCCCCTGGCATTCCTCCTGACAGCCCTGTGTTAGGCACCAAGATTATCTGCCTCTGCTGCAGCAGCTGCTACTGCTCCATTTGCAACCTTTCCGTCTCAAAGACAACTGGAAGCACCAGGATATATAGGAAGTGGTCACGATCCACAGAGCTGCCCTGGAAAATTTGTACATCTTCTGAGTCATGAAGAGCGAGAAATCAAAGGTGGCTCCGGCGGCAGACCAGACCCTCCCCGGAAACATCTCCGTCAGACCCCACAGTCTCTCCAACAGGGTCTCATCTAGCTCGTCATCATCGTCCTCTTCCAGCTCCTCCTCGGCCTTCTCCGCCTCGGCTTTGGGGAGCAATTCGTCCGTGGACAGAGGCTCCCCAGCGCAGGCAGCAGCGACGGGGGCGGCCATAACTGTAGGACACCCTAGCGATGATTTTTAACAGGTCCTAAGTTTCACACTGGTTGAGTCTTAGTGGCAGTCTAGAGATCTGCTGGTGGTTAGGGGGAAACATAAATGTGTTCTTTTAGTAGTAAAACCCAGTTCTGATGCCTGGCCCTAAAAAATTCCTGAACAGAGTAACCAACTCCAGGGGGCATTTTGGGTCCTTCCTTCCTTCTTTCCTTCCTTCCTTCCTGCCTTCCTTCCGTTTTTTTGAGACAGGGTTTCCCTGTGCAATACTCCTGGTTGTCCTGGAGCTCACTTTGTAGACCAGGCTTGCCTCGAACTCATTGAGATCCACCTGCTTCTTTCTGTCTCCCAAGTGCTGCCATTAAAGGCGTGTGCCACCACCGCTGAGCCCAGGGACACTTTGTGATGATGGTTTGAGACCAATGAATGGGAGGAGGACGATGCCCACAAGCTTCTGAGTTTCAGGGCTGGGGTTCTAACCCAGTGCGTGAGTGCTTGCCTAGTATGATAGGTGCCCTGGGTTTGAATCCCAGCAATGCAAAAACCAAGAAAGAAGGAAAACTGCTTCTTAGTTTTAACAAAAAGGAGCATTTATCCTGGCCATAAAGCCCTTCTCCTTGTCATCATGAGAGTGTCTAGGGAATGCCCTGAATGGCACTAAAGCTTCATGCTGCTCCTGAAGAAGGAGACCCAGCTCTCATGGTAGCCAAGGCCTTTCCAGTGGAAAGAGAAAGACCAAGCCTGGTATATTGGTACAGATCTGTAATCTCATCACCTGGGAGATAGATCCAGGGAGACCAGGAGTTTAAGGCCAGCCTCAGCGACACAGAGTTCAAGGCAAGGCTGGGGTACGTGAGACATCTCAAAATAAATCATAATCCCAAAGAAACAGAGCAAGAGTGAATCTTTTCCCAGACTACCCTAATTCCAGTTCTAACCCCTCTCTGTCCCTGGGGACATCCCTAGTTCCTTTCCTGCATCCTTGTTTTCTTGTTTCTTCTATGATTCCCATTGAAGGTATCTGTGCAGATGGAACCAGAGGCAGCCTAAGACAGACAGACTTCTGTGGGCTTGACCCCAGGACATTGCAGTTGTGGTATGGCATGAGGAAAGGAACTCCAGTGAATCAGGCTGCATCCACCTCAACAATTCCTATGCAGCAGCCAGCCAATGAGATGAGTGTGCTAGTAAGTGGCCAGACAGATAAGAAACAAATACCTACTGAGACAAGTTCTCATGTGTCCCAGGCTAGCCTCAAACTTACTGTGGCTCAAAGATGACCCTAAACTTCTGAGCCTCAAGCCTCTCTCTCCCAGGAACTGAGTTTGCACACATGCACCACCACAGCAAGCTCATGCAGTGCTAACAACAAACCCTGGGTTTCAAGCATGCTAGGCAAGTCCTGCCAACTAAACCACATCCCCAGCCTATAGCAAAGATATCCTGAACCTCAGAGACTTCTCAGTTAGTAATGAATTGCCTTGCAAGCATGAGGACTTGAGTTTGATCTCTAGAGCCCATGTTGGAAACAAAAGCCAGGCATGGTGCTGTGTGTTTATGATCCCAGCACTGGGGAAATAGAGGCAGGCAGATCCCTGGGGCTCCCTGGCCTGCCAGACCAGCCTGATCAACAAGCTTCAGGCAAATGAGGACCCTATCTCAAAAACTAGGCAGGCAGTTTCCAGGGAACAGCATCTGCGCTTCTCCTCCGTACTCCAAGGGCACACCCTTGCACACACACAAAGATTCTGAACACAAGTCTCTCTGTGGGGCATATTGCACTCTGCTCTATCTACTGCCAGGAAAAAGTGTGAACCACACACTGACAGTCACCACACACAGATCTATCTGTTCAGGCTACGTCAGCTGCTCAGGTTCTAATGAGCGCACACACCTTTAATACCAGCACTCTGGAGGCAGAGGCAGGAGATCTCTGTGAGTTTACCAGCCTGGTCTACTGAGCAAGTCCCAGGACAGCCAAGGCTACACAGAGAAACCTCGTCTCAAAAAACAAAAACAATAAAAAAAAGAAAAAAAAATAGTTTCAGGTTTCAATCTTTCCTTCCCCAAAGGAACGGTGAAGGCCCCTTTAAGGTGAGGCAGTGGAACAGCCATTCAACAGCTCTGAGTGAGCCCTTCCTCCCTGGGTCTGTCCTGCAGGTGGTGACTTTCGATGCCGAAGGAGTCAGTGGTCACAGCAATCATATTGCTTTGTACAAAGCTGTGAGGTATGCTTCTGTGGGTGATGGAAGTGGGAAAGGGTTTCTCCATTTGCTCGAGGGTCACAGTCACTAAAACACCTTCCTGCCTGTTTTCTGAGCCCAGAAAATGTACTCTTCTGTCACCATGCAGGCATTGTTGCCCTATTGCTCACATACCTACCCACCTCTCCACATCTTTTTTTTTTTTATGTGTATGGGTGTTTTGCCTTCATGTATGTCAGAGTAGCAGTCTACCATGTGTATGCATTGCACACAGATGCCAAAAGATGATGTCAGATCCCCCAGGATCTAGAGTTATAGATTGTGAGCCTTTGTGTGGGTGCTGGGAATTGAACCTGGGTCCTTTGGAAGAATAGTCAGTGCTATACACCACTGAGCCCCACATCCTCTTTATAAGAACTCCCACAAGTCATGGTAGGAGTGGAAATGACTGTCTCCTAAGTTTTTTATTTTTTAGTTTTTTTTTCAGATTTTCTTTATTTATTGAGTATTGTATAGACACACTGTGTTTTTTAAGTTTTTTAAAAGTTTTGATTTGCCTAGCAAAGAAGTGGTGGCTCACTTCTTTAATCCCAGCACTAGGGGGCAGAGGCAGGTGGATCTCTGTGAGTTTGAGGCCAGCCTGGTTTACATAGTGTAACCCAGGGTTACAGAAAGAAACCCTGTCTTCAAATAACAAAATTAAACAAACAAAATTTTTATTGGTCTATATTAAATATACATGATAGTGGGTTTCTCATAATTTTCAGACATGTGCATGATGCATTTTGATCATATTCATTCTCCATTGTTTCTTCCCCTTCCCTAGGGCAAGTAGCTGACTCTCCTTCCTTCCTCTGTGTGTGTGTGTGTGTGTGTGTGTGTGTGTGTGTGTGTATGTTGTGTCCTAATCGGTTTCATTAGGGTTGCTTACAGAAGCACAGGTGAGAGATCATTTACAGGAGCAGGTGCACCTTACCAGTGGCTACACCTCTGAAGAAAATGTCCCTCCTGCTCCAGCAGTCATTAACTACCTATAGACTCTTGGGGAGGGGTGGTGAAGGGTTCTATTTATATCTATTGTTGGTTGGTTTTGTTTTTGAGACAGTGTCTTGCTATGTAGTCCTGGCTGGTCTAGAACTCACTATGTAGACCAGACTGGCCTCAAACTTACAATGAGCCTCAGGTCTGTGCCTCTTGATACTGGGATTATAAATGTGTACCTGTCCAGCTTAACAGTTGAGTTTATTTTTACCCCCTGGATACTACAAATGGGGTAACTGGTTCTATTTCCATCTTTACTTCGGCCACAGAAACCTGACAGGCCAAATTCTCAGCCTTCTAAGTGAATGAAGATGACTCCAGGAGTGAGACCTGTGGACCAGCACACCCAGTTTTATTATCTTCATCCTCCCTCCTCACTGATGTTCTGTTAAGTTTCTCCTAAGCTGTTCCCCAGCTTTTGCTTTGTTTTGTTTTTTGGAGGAAGATGATTACATGCATAATACTACATCCCAGTTGTTTGCCTGTTAGCATGTCTATTATACTAACATTTGGGAAACTATGACAGGAAGATCTCAGCATCAGGTATTCTAGGCCACAAGCAAGACTATCTTAAAAACAAACAAAAAAACCCTACATTTTCCAGCACCACCCTATTTTATTGACATTTGTGTACATCTTACCAGTGAAACCAAAATAGAGCCTCAACAATGGTGCCTGACCTAGGGTCAAACCAACAGACTGTGTTCTCTATCCTCCAGTGAATATTTCTGCAGAGTGCAAGTCTTGTCCTAGCTACCAAGGAAGGAAAAAGGCACTGGGAAGTCTTGTTTTCCTACTTCTAAACATGCCCACCACTCTCACACTGAAACTGTCAACATTATGAAGTTGGAAATGACCTCACTGGTCATGGAGTGCAGCCATCTCATTTGGCTGGCAGAGAAGAGGATTGCCTAACATAAGACACAACAGTAGCCGAGACAGGACTAGAACTCGGGCATCCTGTGTCTCCCTTCACTAGGTGCCTCCATTGGGTGCACATGAAGGCAGACCTAACTTGATGGCTTCCCACCCTCTTCTTTAATTGTATGCAACTTTGGAAGAGACTAGAAATTAGTACCCATATTTTCTTTTCAGACAGTTAGTCCCAATTCTTTGTGGGATGATTGGAGGCCACACTTCTCTCCCCTCTTGTGAAAAATCATTCATTTCCTGACCCAACAGAGGCCACAGATACAGCTTATGTGTTAACAGTTACATTATGTTCATTCATAGTTAAGGAAGACACACCATAGGTTTCAGTAGAAGATGCAATTTTTCAATGAAGATACACAAAGTATACTTCCCAGGAATGGACTTTAACCAAAGTGCTTATTCTAAGGATTGAACTGCTGGAGAGCAAGCCATTGTCGGGTAGGAATAAGGGCTCCACTTCATTCCAGGTCCACACAGAGCCTTATATTTGTACTCAAGTATTCACCAGAAAAAAAGGTCAGGTCAAATTTACTGTAAACAAACCCAGAGTGCCTCAACAGACAGTGGGCAGGGCACTTGAGTGGCACTTGGTTAGTTCCATCCCTGCCTGTGCTGTTTGTTTTTTGTCAACTTGACACAAGCTGGGGTCATCTGGGAAGATTAAGAAAAGGTCTCCATTAAATTGACCTATAAGGAAAGCCTGTGGGACATTTTCCTGATCGATGATTGGTGTAGGACAGCCCTGCCTCCAATGGCAGGTGGTCCTGGGGTGTACAAAAAAGCAGATTGAGCAAGCCAAAAGTAGCAAGACCAGTAAGCAGTGCTCCTCTGTGGCCTCTGCCTCAGTTCCTGCCTCCGTGTTCCTGTTTGAGGGTTTTTTTTTTTTTTTAGGTTTTTTTTTTTTTTGAGACAGGGTTTTTTTGTGTAACAGCCCTGGCTATCCTGGAACTCATTCTGTAGACCAGGCTAGCCTCAAACCCACAGAGATCCACCTGCCTCTGCCTCCCGAGTGCTGTGTTTGAAAGCCAGCACCACCAGTCTGCCCAGCCCTGCTTGAGTTCTTGACCTGACTTCCCTCTGTGTTGGTGATCTGGGAGTTTCAAGATGAAATAAACCCACCCTTTCCTTCCAAAGTTGCTTTTGGTCATGGTCTTTATCACAGCAACATAAAGCAAACTAGGACACTGGTTAACACTGAAATGGGGGCACAGGGACGGCTTCATTCAGGGCAGAGAGTCCAAGGGCAGAGCTTTCTGAAAACAGCAAAAGCCTGCTACAGCTGTCGTTTCTGCAGACACTGGGATGCCACGGCTCTCAATTCATGAGCCCTCTCTGCTCTAATGTGGCCCCACACTTTGGATAAAGCAATAACACGTGGGCATGCTGACCAGCTACATCCTCCTCCTGTCTGTAAATCCATCAGATTCACCTTTGTCCTCACCTGCCTTTGCCCTTCTGCGGTATTTGTCCCTGTCACTCATCAAAATGTTGCTTTGACTTGCTGACACTGACTGAGGTTACCAGCATTGGTCTCCCTGGTCATCTCCCAGTCTCTTCCTGTCTTCCTTCACACCCAAGTGCCTGTGCGCAGGACTCCCTTCCCAGCTCCACTCAGCAAGGTTCTTCAAGGGTTGAAGGGCTGTGAATGTGTGGTCCTCTAGTGCTCCCCTCTGTACCGGTGCATCTGCCTCAGAGTCAGACTGTCCCCAGGCTCTGCCCATAGTGCAGGACCCCAGAAACCTCTTTCAGGGTTTTCTGCTTCCCCTGCCCCTGAACCCCTATTCCTGTGGGGGGGGGTCTGAGTCCACCCACTTATCCTTCTGTGTCCCCTGTCTTCTGATAACAAAGCCAGGAAGCAATTCAAAGATTACTGGTGTCAAATTTACCGTGCCCCTCTTTACAATAGTAAACTCACAACAACTTTTACGGTCAGTGGGAGTAAGGGAGTTACTAGGGGAAATACTAAGGGAGAAACATCAGTTAACATGTTAAAACATTCTTTCATTATAACCGTGTTACAATTTTTTTTTCCTGAGACAGGGTTTCTGTGTGTAACAAACAGTTCTGGCTATCCTGAAACACATCTGTAGACCAGGCTGGCCTCAAACTCACAGAGATCTGATGCCTTTGCCACCTGAATGTATAATTTCTTTTTTTGTTTGTTTTTATTTTTCAAGACACTGTTTCTCCTAATAGCCCTGGATGTCCTGGGACTCACTATGTAGATCAGGCTGGTCTTGAACACAGAGATCTACCTGCCTCTGCCTCCTGAGCACTGAGATTAAAGGCATGCACCACCAAACCCAGCTAATTCGTGTTATAATTTCAAGAGAAAAAAATTGATGATAGTTGTCCTCATCGCTAACATTTAAAACTTGGGTTGGATTGTTCCATAAGCCATACACCAGCTTCTGGGCCAAGCTGAGTGGGAATGAAATGCCAGGGGTGTGGAATCCTGTATATTTTGATGTTGGTTTATGCAATAGAAACCACTGGGAACCTGTGTGTTTGGTTGGGGCATTGTCCATGTAGACCTCACTCTGAAGGTCCTTCCTGTTAACACAGAAGAGTAGGTGACTCATACCCTCTCTAATGCTTGTCCTCTCCACCTTCCAGGGCCCTACACTCAGAAGGGAAGCTGCCTAAAGGTAAGAAAAGTCAGATTTTATTGCAAATAGACAATGGTCACTATCTCTTTAAGAAATTTAACAAGGAAATTTGCCAATATTGCCAGCCCTCCATATCTATGAGTTTCTATGTATCTATGGATTTCACAACCTGGGTTCAAAATTATTCAAGGGGATGCTGGAGACATGGATGCCCAGTTAAGAGCACTTACTGCTCTTAGAGAAGACCTGGGTTCAGTTCCCTACACCCATATCAGCCAGATTACGACAGCCTACAACTCCAGTTCCGGGGACACCAGACATCCTGTGCACGAATGTGGTACACATAAACTCATGCAAACACACACACAAATTAAAAAATTCTTAAATATGCAAGTAGAAAAAAGGGTACCAATACTGAGCATGCATATTCTTTTCTCCTCATTGGTCCCTAGTGTTAGTATTCAGGCATCTATTCTGGCCCGTCCTTGGGTTTCTGACAGGGTATGCTCTCAGCTGCAGCCACTAAGAGCATATTCACTACGTTCCCTTCAAAAGGGTCCTGCCTGCCTCCCATCTTTCTTTCTTTCCCTCTTTCTGTCTGTCCCCCTCTCTCTCTTCCCCTCCCTGCCTCCCTCTCTCCCTCTTTCCTTTCTCCTCACTCCTGCTGCTCCTGTCTCTGGAGGCCTTTCGTCCCCCACCCTTTCTTTTTTTTGTTGTTTTTTGTTTTTTCAAGACAGGGTTTCTCTGTGGCTTTCAAGGCTGTCCTAGAACTATCTCTTGTAGACCAGGCTGGCCCCAAACTTACAAAGATTCGCCTGCCTCTGCCTCCTGAGTGCTGGGATTAAAGGGGTGTGCCACCTACGCCCGCCTCCTTTTTCCCTTTTTATGATCCCTATCCCTAATAAAAAAAACCCTCTGCTTGAACCCTGTCCCATGATGTCGTTTTCTGGAATTTCACTTTTCTTAAATTACTAACTCCTAGACAATGCAATCTAGCAACTATTTCCATGGCATTTACCTTATATTAGGGATTATAGGTAACCTAGAGGTGATCTAACATACACAACAGGATCTGAGTAGGTTCTATATAAATTCTGTGTCATTTAATAGAAGAGGCGAGCATCCATTGAAGTATTTGTGGAGGTCCTAGAACAGGATGGATGCAGACTAAAGGGCACCTATACTCAGAGCATTTTGTTAGTCTGTCCAAACTCACCTCCCATCACCCACTTAATTAGGGGGCTATAAGTACCTCACAAGTTCCTTATAAATTGATGGGCTTGAAATAGTAACACTTTCAGGGGCTGGAAAGATGGCTCAGCAGTTAAGAGCACTGGCTGCCCTTCCAGAAGTCCTGAGTTCAATTCTCAGCACCCACATGATGGCTCACAATCATTGATAATGAGATATGATGCTCTCATCTGACTTGCAGGCATACATGTAGACAGAACATTCATACATAAAACAAACAAACAAAAAACACAAAATAAATAAATTTTTTTTTCAAAAAAGAAGAAATAGTAACACTTTCTAAACTCCTCTGAAGCATAGGGCCCAACTGACCATTCACTGCCAGGGAGGCATAGGACCCCAATAGCCATTCACTCCCTGGGAGGCATAGGACTCCAGTAGCCATTCACACCCTGGGAGGCATAGGACCCCAACAGCCATTCACTGCCTGGGAGGCATAGGACCCCACTGGCCATTCGATGCCTGATATTCTACTTTCTTCTCTGAGCAAGTTCTGGCCTGGCCTGGCCTGGCCTCACAAGGGTGACATGAGATCAAAGAGTGAAACATAAGTGATATGTATTGTCTTCACAGGCTGTGAGGTCTTAAGAGCATAGGTGTGTTCTGTTTGACTCTGTGTCACCCTTGTAAGATGGCAGGCCCTACACTATCAACACTTCTTCAGCAACTAGGAAGCTAAAATCCAGAGCAGTTAAGGACTTTCCTCATCAATGTTTTTTTTTCAGAGACAGGGTGTAACTGTGCAGCTCAGGCTGACTTCAAACTTGCTATGTAACCCAGGCTTGCCTCTGACTCATGGCAGTCCACCTGTCTCCGCCTTCCAAGTACTGGAATTACAGGTGAAAGCCACCACACCCAGCGCCTCATGTCAGAGCAAAGCTGAAACAAGTCTTTAGCCTCCTGACTCAGAAATTCCCGTCTCCATCATCTTTCCTCCACCCTCTAACAGGCCCCTTCCTCTTACAGCGACACAGACGCACCGGGTGGGGAGCTTCTGTGGCCCTGTCCCTCTTCCCATATAGGGGAATACCAGTCAAAGAGCAAGTCTGGTGCCACGAGGCACCTAGCAGCTGGAGAGCAACTGCTCTGCTGCCTTGAGCCACCTAAAGAGGGAGGGTGCTGGGGGAACGCCCGGCTGAGAGCCACCACGTGATGCTGTCTGCCATCCCTCCTTGTCCAGGGTGCTCCGTACTCACTCTGCAGTCTGTGAATGTGCTACGGAAGTATCTCTACCCCCTGGATCTACTCTGGTCTCTGCTCTCACCCAAGGATGTCCTCTTCCGGCTCACGGGTAAAGAAGTAGCACAGGCCAAGGTAAGGATTTGACTTCCTGGACACTGCACTGCAAACCCAGCCTCGGGTCCTTGGCTCCTCAAAGCCCTGCTACCTGCAGAGCCCCTGGCACAGGGATGAAGCCTGCTCTGCTTGCTAGACTATTTCAGCTACACCTGACAGGCATTTATTTTCAATGATTTGGGCTTTTTCTCTGATTAAAAACTTGAAATAAATACATGGCACATGCTCATTTTTGGAGACTCAGAAATACATAACAGCATCAGTAAAATAAAAATAAGGGGCTGGGGAGATGGCTCAGTGGTAAGGAGCACTTGATGCTCTTCAAGGGGACCTGGGTTCAGTTCCACTAAGCAGCCCACAACCATCTGTGACTCCAGTTCCAGGGGTTCTGTCACCTTCTTCTGGCCTCCATGGGCACCGTACATAAGGGGTGCACATACATGTACTCAAGCATACGCATACATATAAAATTATTGTGACAGTGGGGCAGGTGACTCATTAGGGTTGGGGGTGGGGACTATGGATTGATGTGCCCTGCTCTGATGAGAAGGGAAGATCTGAAAATAACAGCTCCAGAGCAAGTGTCCATCTTTGGTCCTCTTTGATTTTTTCCAGAAAGCCATGTTTTGCCACCACAGTCAGCTCCTCTGGTTCCGCCACCTGTACGTTGTCTTCTCCAGTTACATGAGAGTCAACTCACTGCAGTTCCTCTGAAGCCAAGAAGAGTTTTCAGATCTTCAGAACAAAAGGGAGAAACATACCAAGAAGACCCTGGGCCTGGCTTTGGGCTGGCTCATCTCCTCAGCCTGGAGCGATAGATCCCAGCAAAGCAGCCTCTGAGGGGAAAAAAAAACACCAAGACCCAAAACTGCACCAACACAATAACAGCTACCCCACTAATTTACCAACTCTTGTGAAAATAGTTGGCATGATAACAGAGTATGTATCAAACATCTCACAAAGCCTGGGCAGGTTACCTTTACCATAAATGAATGTAAAGGTGCTATAAAAAGTAGTTCCCAGATGGAATTTTTACATTGCTTCTGAAGCAGGCTGTTTTGGTCAGTCTTCTATTCTTGTAACCAGGGGGTCTGTAGAGTTAAGGTTTTACTTAGCTCACAATTCTGCAGGCTGCAAAGACTAGGAACATGGCAGCCCCTGCATGACAGCTGATGGGGGCTTCTTGATGTATCTCAAAGACAAAGGCAGTCACAGGGACACAAAGCAAGTGAGCCAGAGTGTTCCTTTAGACAAAGCCACAGCTACAAGTGACCTAGTCACCTGCGAAAGGTCTCACCTCCCAACACTGGTGCCTTGAGCACATATGAGTTCCACAGACAAGTGACCTAGTCACCTGCGAAAGGTCTCACCTCCCAACACTGGTGCCTTGAGCACATATGAGTTCCACAGACAAGTGACCTAGTCACCTGCGAAAGGTCTCACCTCCCAACACTGGTGCCTTGAGCACATATGAGTTCCACAGACAAGTGACCTAGTCACCTGCGAAAGGTCTCACCTCCCAACACTGGTGCCTTGAGCACATATGAGTTCCACAGCTACAAGTGACCTAGTCACCTGCGAAAGGTCTCACCTCCCAACACTGGTGCCTTGAGCACATATGAGTTCCACAGCTACAAGTGACCTAGTCACCTGCGAAAGGTCTCACCTCCCAACACTGGTGCCTTGAGCACATATGAGTTCCACAGACAAGTGACCTAGTCACCTGCGAAAGGTCTCACCTCCCAACACTGGTGCCTTGAGCACATATGAGTTCCACAGACAAGTGACCTAGTCACCTGCGAAAGGTCTCACCTCCCAACACTGGTGCCTTGAGCACATATGAGTTCCACAGACAAACCATAACACAGGTTCAACACACACACACACACACACACAAGCTTCAGTTGGTTCAACCATACTTCCTTGGGTTTTTATTTGTGGCCCCCTTACCAGAACTTTAGTTCTGTACTTTATCACCATGGTACAGATGTGTATAGATGATCATGTGGGTCCTACCTTTGAGGAGCCAATAAACATCTTGATTCTCTGCCTTTTGGAAGTAGGAGCTGTGCAAACACCTTTAATCCAAGAACTCAGGAGGCAGAGGCAGGTGAATCTCTGAGTTCAAGGCCAGTCTGATCTATAGAGTAAGTTTCAGGACAGCCAGAGCTTTGGAGACAAACCCTTCTCTCAAAAAGAAAAGAAAAAAGTAGAAAATAGAGAAAAGACAAACCTGGAACTGTTTTTTTTTTCTGGTTTTTTTTTTTTTTTTTTTTGGTTTTTTCGAGACAGGGTTTCTCTGTGGCTTTGGAGGCTGTCCTGGAACTCGCTCTGTAGACCAGGCTGGCCGCGAACTCACAGAGATCCGCCTGCCTCTGCTTCCCGAGTGCTGGGACTAAAGGCGTGCGCCACCAACGCCCGGCTTGGAACTTTTTTTTTTAAGCACTGAAGAATCTGATGTCAACAGGATAGTGGTGGCACATACCTGTAATCCCAGCACGTGGGAGGCAGAGGTGGGTGGATCTGTGAGTTTGAGGTCAGCCTGGTCTACAAAGTCATTTCTAGGACAGTCAGGACTACATAGAGAAACCCTGTCTCAAAATACAAACAAACAAAAAAAGAGAATCTGCTGTTACCAAGCATGGTGGTGCATATCTAAAGTTCCAGCACTCAGAAGGTGGACAGAATTACAGGAAGTGTGAGGACAGCGGTGTCTACATGTGAAAATGCCACAATGAAACCCATTAATTCATATGCTAACTTAAAAGATCAGTTAAATGCATATATATGCATACATACAGTATTAAAAGATCTTTGTAGGGCTTAAGAGGACACTGAGATGGACTGTCCTCTAGGTAGGAAATTTATTAGAAGAGTTATTAACACCATGGGCAGACAGACATGAGAACTTGTCCCAAAAAACACAAAAACAAGACAAATAAAAACCACTATTCTAAGCCAGACATGAAAGTGCATACATTTAATCCCAGCACTGGTGGGTCTCTGTGCATTCCAGCCAGGCTGGTCTACACAGTGAATCAGCCAATGCTACACAGTGAGACTCTCAAAGCACAAAAACAGCCTGGGCTTGGTGGCACACACCTTTAATCCAGCAGAAGCAGGTGGATCTCTGTGAGTTTGAGGCCAGCCTGATCTATATAATGAGTTCCAAGACAGGCATAGCTACATAGCGAGACCCTAAAGAAAAAAATCTCAAATAAATAAATTATAGGTATTCCAATAGACCAGATTATCATAAAACTGCTTTTAAATAAGGCAATATATCCACAAGTAACAATCTATCAGGCATATTACTTGATGAAATCAAGATAATGAGCGAATATTTTCCCTAACCTATTTTGTTTGGGGGAAAAAATGTATTTCCATACCCATGTGTTTAAGAAAGCAGAGGCTGCCCCTGCCTGTATAGCATGTCTCTGAAGAAGATTCCCTTTGCTGTGTTCCTGAAAAGAACAGTGCTTTACAGTGATCCCTCTGCAAGACTGATTAAGTGATTAGTAGTGATGTACAGAGGCTGAAAGACTCCACATCCAGAACTCAGTTATCTTGGGGCATCTTTAGATGCTGTAATAGGTATTTATTCCCTACATCTGTACGTGACCATCTCTGTGACCATTAAGTAAACACTTTGGTATGTAGAAGTGGAGCCCTAGTTTTCACCAACCACAAGCCTGTGAATGCCTTCAGATGGCATCTAAGGTCTACAGCTGACAACTGTGATCCCACTGATGTTCCCACTGTGTAGATAAAAAGTGCCATGTATGCCTTTCTTTCTTCTGCTGCTATAAACCTCATGGAACTGTGTCCATACTGGAATATAGAAATGGGGTAACCCACATTTACAGCCTGGGTCGTTGTTACTGGTATTTCACTCCAGGGTCAACTACCTCTCATCCCCTTTGATGTGAGAATTCTTATTTTGTTGACAATCCCTTTTAAATGTTCTACAATATACATACAGTACAACCTATGAAAAATATTTTCAAATCTTAGAGATTAAAAAGATGCATAGAGACAGGTGGTGGTAGTATATGCCTTAAATCCAGCACTTAGGAGGCAGAGGCAGTGGAGGCCAGCCCAGTCTACAGATCAAGTTCCAGGACAACCAGATCTACACAGACAAACCCTGTCTAGGAAAAACAAAACAAACAAAATGCATAGAATTACAATGCTTCCAGGTAGTGATGTTTGAGAATTACTTTGTGTCTGCTCATATTCGTTTTACTATAGATAGCAAATTAAGAGGTTGGGGTTGGTAACTCCGTTGGTAGAGTGCTTGCCTAAGTTTGGTCTCCAGCACAGCATAAACTTGTGTGCCAACATTTGGGCTGCAGAGGCAGGAATAGCAGAAATTCAAGGCCACCCTCAAATACATAGCAAGTTTGAAACCAACCCAAAGGAGACTCATCAAAAATAAATAATATTTAAAAATCTAGGAAGGAGTTGTTTTGTTTTGTTTATTTTCCAAGGCAAAGTTTTTCTGTGTAGCCTTGACATGGAACTTAGAGATCCACCTGCCTCCCTAGTGCTGAGATTAAAGGCATATGACACCACCCCAAAGAGTGAAAGGAATATTTTTAATGGTATTTTTATTTGCTGATTGCCTAATTGATGCTATTTCTCTCTGTGAGCACCTTCTGTGGGCTGCTTAAACAGTCTCCATTCATGATCCCCTTTCACCTGAGAAAGTTTTATACAATCCTGGATATACAAGTATACAAATAGATATATAAATCAAGCACTTAGTGATAATAAATCATAGAAAAATATTTCAAAATAATCCCTTGGGTACATGAAATTTTACCATTTACTGAACACTAAATCTGCACACTGAGATGGACGTGTTTGCTTATTTTGCATAAAGAATCAAGTTCTGGCTGAGTTACTTGATGCTGCAAGGCACAGCACCTTCAACATTTTCCAGAAATGATAGTTGTTTTGACTGTATAGTCATTAGTGACTGTGCCTATTCCCATAGATACATAGTACAAAATGGCAAAAGTGTATTTAGGAACATTTCAGAAATTGATGAAACTCCTGTCCTAATTCCAAGCCAAAAGTCACTTAATGATTTCTTATAAAAGTCACTAAATCAAACAGCAATGTAAGAAAAGGTGTGTGTTTGTGTGTGTGTGTGTGTGTGTGTGTGTGTGTGTGTGTGTAGTGGAGGTCATCAGGAGTCAGTTCTGTCCTTCCACCATGTGAGTTCCAGGGACAGGCAAGCATCTTTACCAACTGAGCCATCTCACTGTTATCGAGTCAGGGTTAGATTCTTCTAGGTGTTAATCAAGTCACATTCATCTGCAGTCTCATAGCTACTGACATTCACCAGTTCTTCAAAAAGCAGTTATTAAAATCAGACATTCTGAGGCTTGAAGAGATGGCTCAGCAGTTAGGAGCAATTGCTGCTCTTGCTAAGGACTTGGGTTCAGTTCCCAGCACCCACACAGTGGTTCACAACTGCCTACAACTGGTATTCCATGGGATCCAATATTCTTTCCTGCTGTCTGTGGGCACAATGTGGAGCATATACGTAAATGCAGGCAAAACTCTGCACATAAATACATATAAAAATCTTTAAAATGTCAAGCAATGAACTCCAAAGACATTCTTAATTGATATGTTCATGCTGAAGAATCAGAGTAGAAAAACATCAAGTCTTGGTTTTCCATAATTAAATCATTATGCTTCTACAAGAGCAGAAAACTTAGAGGTATGGTGGCTTGCTTCTGCTCAGTGTTTGCTCTGTTTACAATCCCCAGCCATCGGAGGAGTCAGGCGGGTGGGCAGGACGTCTTGGGGCACTGTGCTGCGGCTTCTGTGAGGGCACTCAGAATGGTCCAGCGTCTGACATACCGACGTAGGCTTTCCTACAACACAGCCTCTAACAAAACTAGGCTGTCTCGAACCCCTGGCAACAGGATTGTTTACCTTTACACCAAGAAGGTTGGGAAAGCACCTAAATCAGCATGCGGTGTGTGCCCAGGCAGACTTCGAGGGGTTCGTGCTGTCAGACCAAAAGTCCTTATGAGACTGTCTAAGACAAAGAAGCATGTCAGCAGGGCCTACGGCGGCTCCATGTGTGACAAGTGTGTCCGCGACAGGATCAAGCGGGCTTTCCTTATCGAGGAGCAGAAAATTGTTGTGAAAGTGTTGAAGGCACAAGCACAGAGCCAGAAAGCAAAATAAATATGCAGCTTTTTAAATAAAAGTCAAGGCTTGGCCTGTGGGGGGGGAAAAAGAGCAGAAAACTTTGCATGTACAGTATAAAATAATAAAGCCCTGTAGTCCATAACTTACACAGTCTTAAATTTGGGCTGAGGCACTGTAGGCGGCACATGTTTGAGGTTGTGGCATTAGGGCATGCGTAGTGCAGAGTGCACACCTTTGCATTCAGAAAAAAAGGGTAAAGGGAAGTTACACAATACAAAGACTGAACCAGAAATATTCAGTACTTATGCATTTGGTTTTTGAATTAGTTTTGGTTAGTTTGAGTTTTCATTCGCCGTGTCTTCAGAAGCTTTTGACTGCACATATATTCCCCCTAGCCCCATGTTCATTCACATAAAGAGTCAAAACCACAGTTTAAGAGGTGGGACTCAGGGGCTGGAGAGATGGCTCAGAGGTTAAGAGCACTGACTGCTCTTCCAGAGGTCCTGAGTTCAACTCCCAGCAACCACATGGTGGCTCATAACCATCCATAATGAGATTTGGTGCCATCTTCTGGCATGCAGACATACATGAGGCAAGATGTTGTGTTCATAATAAATAAATCTTTAAAAAAAAAAAAGAGGTGGGCCTCGGCGGGGTGTTGGTGGTGCACTGTTGGTGGGTGCTCTCGGATCTCTGTGAGTTCAAAGCCAGCCTGGTCTACAGAGTTAGTTCCAGGACAGGCTCCAAAGCAATACAGAAAAACCCTGTCTCAGAAAACCAAAAAAAGAGGTGGACCTCTGGAATATCACAGCAGAGGGGACACAGGTGGGCAACATGACCTGGAGCTACATGTTCCATCCTGGGTTGTGAAAAGGGGACAGCTCAGAA